AACAACTTCAACAGATTCCCCTCAATTTTATTTTAAGAAATTAAGCAATTTTCAACTAATTTCATAAGATTATTTTTTTTTTCACACTTTCCATATTTTTGTAACAAGCATTTTGCTCCATGCATTATTTACCACTGGTTCGGAAAATACCTCTGTCCTGGGAAGAATCAGCAAGAAACCCAGCGGGACTTTTTTTTTTCAAACATTTCACTTAACAATAATTTCGTTTATACAATTTTTAAATGATTTTTCATAGAACCAGCATGGTGGCGATCACCTTATTCCCAGGGGTTATTTTCATTCATGTATTCCTTGATATTATAATAACCCTTTTTGTAGTTTTTCTTTAATAAAACTTTTAAACTTGTTTATTGACGAACTTTAATATGTTCTGGGATTTTGTTGTAAAAGCGTATACATTGCCCCATAAATGAATTACTGATTCTGTGGAGTCTAGTAACTGGCATTACAAGCTTATGTTTGTTCCTAGTGTTTAAAGTATGCACATCCTTATTCTTATTAAAGCTATTTATATTTTTAAGCACATTCATAAATATATAGCGATGCCAAAGTTAATATGTTTATTTCTTTAAATTTTTCTCTGAGGGACTCTTTACAATTTAGGTTATAAATCGCCCGTACGGCTCTCTTTTGCAAAACAAATATAGCTTCAATATCAGTCGCATTACCCCATAGCAAAATTCCATAAGCGATTAGGCTATGAAATTAACTAAAATACACTAATCTAGCTGTCTCAACATCTGTGAGACTTCTTATCTTTCTTACAGCATATGCTAGAGAACTAAGTCTGCGTGCTAATTTAGATATATGGGGGCCCCATTGAAGTTTCGCATCAATAGTAATATCAAGAAAAACAGTGGTATCCACAACACTCAACTCCTCCCCACTTAAGAGCACATTGGTTTTCGAATGTTTTACATTAGGTATGTGTGAAAATTCAATGTTTCCCAAAATACAGTCGCACACACAGCTTTATTTGCACGACGCGCGACGATGGTTTTAAAAGGGAAGGAAAGAAAAATTATTTATATCTATTTTTTTATGACTCTAGTGAACGAAAAGGTAAATATGATGGGAGAAGGTGATTGGGGAAAGTCGTGCAGTAAAGTTAAAAGTATTGAGGAAGAATACCGAAAAAATTACCATGTGGTCGACTTGATGACGGAAACATTTATCATTCGCAGTGATGATAATGATTCTGATGAGGGAAGCTCAAGCTAAGATGAAAGTGATGATAAAGTAGCATCCAGTAACACCAACACACCATCGACATCTGGCTTCCATGTGACCCAAGACGATATAATGGACGGCCTGTCACCCTTAGCTTAAGTTTTCTTGTTACAAACTACTTTATATTTACGACAGAAATAAAAAAATAATGCTCAAGTAAACATTATCCATTTTTAATTCCAACCTCTTCCAAAGTTCTAAGTAGCTATAGCCTTTGCGTTATACCATGGTGCGGGTGACAGCTTACACTTTTGGAGTGTCTAGAGATGGAACCATAGAATTATTACCCAGTAGAAACGCAGTCTAGTACAAAACACGAGCGTTAAAGTGACGCAAGGTCATTATGTTAGTGGGCGCGAGTCGAATGTGCCTGCGCTATATCACACGCTCACATACACGCCATTCAGTGATACCAGTTTCTGGCGTTTGCAATCAAAACGCGGTTTCGCGTTATAGTTGCTTCACTTTTGGTGCGCGTACTAGTATTCTATACGTAATAATTCTATGGATGGAACATTATTAAATAGATTTAAAAAAAGCGATTAACGATACACAAAGCAAAGCAAAAATTATAGATTAGCTATCCTATAAAAATTAAAACGGAAACATATTTTATAAACTACAATGCATGTAAAGTTAAGTTAAAGTTTAATACAAATTATGACATAATAATTACATAATAGCCGTTGCCGGACCTCGCCCGCTTGGTATTTATTACGATTGTATTTCATGGATTTTAATTTTTTTTGCGCGAAATCCTAATTATTTTTTAAAATAAAATTAGCCTGTATTACTCCTTATAACATCAGCTATCTGCCAATGCCGGCTATAAGCCGGAACAAACAGAGAGACGGACAAACATTTTAAAAATTGTTTTTGTCTTTTTGTTATAAATACCGTTATATACTTTCTTATGTATTTAGTAAAAGGCTGTTATTTTGATATTACAAACAGTCACTTCAATGTATAGATTATACTATTTATTATTATTATTATTATTATTTATACTTTATTGTACACCACAAAAAAAAAGATAAAAAAGAACAAATTACAAGGAGTAAAACTTAAGAGGTAGGTACAATAAGGCGGTCTTATCGCTAATAAGCGATCTCTTCCAGACAACCTTAAGATTAGGAGAAAGTTGTTCTATTGGACAGTGGGAGGTGGTGTATATTATAGTAAACTTACATACTAATACCTAAATAAACTAAACTGATATATAATGAAAAAAAATAATACACTAATATATACATTCAAAATATAATAGACATACATAAGATTAAGTAGGCAAATATACATAAAAATGAAATAAAAAATACAGAGAGGATACAAAAAATACATGTCGCAAATGATGACCAGTAGTTAATGCACTGTTAGGTAGTAATTTTTGACGCCAGTCTTAAACTTTTCTAGTGTTTTCGCACGACGAATTTGCGAAGGAAGATCATTCCATAAGCAGATGGCCTTAACTGTGAAGGAGTTTTTAAAGTATTTAGTTCGATATGAATGTGGTGCGAGTATAAGTTCTCCGGCTGACCTCTGTCCGGTCTGTCATGACCAAGAAACTTAAAGTTTTCCTTTAGATAGCTAGGAGTCATTGGATCGAATAATACACAGTACAGAAGAGAAACAATTTGTAGGTTCCGGCGAAGGCGAATGGGTAACCACTTGAGCTTTAAACGGAATTCGGAGACATGGTCATATTTGCGCAAGCCAAATATGAACCTAATAGCCAGATTTTGAATACGCTCAAGTTTGTTTAGTTGATCTTCAGTTACATCAAGACAGCTTGCGCCCGCATAATCGAGAATAGAGAGGAGTAAAGATTGTGCTAACATAATTTTAGTAGGAATGGGAAGGAAAGAACGCAAACGCCGCAATAAACCCATAGCAGCAAATGTCTTTCTGCTAACTTCTTTCAATTGATGAGACCACGAGAAAGTAGTATCGAAGTGGATACCAAGATTTTTAACGGTGCTACTGTAAGGTATTACAACACCATTCAATACCACCGAGGGAAAGTTATTCCAGTCAACTCTTGAAATCATCCCAGCACCACCAACAATAATGGCCTGCGACTTAAAAGGATTAACCTTAAGCCCATAGTATTTACTCCATTCGCTAATAGCCGCCAGGTCAGCATTGATGGCAGAAACAGCGGTAGGCAGGTTCTCAAGAGTTGACTGCGTATACACTTGAAGATCGTCTGCATACATGTGATAGAGAGAAGAAATTTTGTGACAGATCGAATTAATGTAGATAGCAAAGAGTAAAGGAGACAACACACCACCTTGAGGCACTCCAGCTGGTAGTTCACACCAAGATGAAAATTTATCTTCAACGCGAATACGCTGCCGGCGGCCCCTAAGATAACTTTGAAACCATCCAACCACTGATGGAGATATGTTAATGGAACGTAACAGGCTCAACAAGATATCAAAATCAACGGTATTGAAGGCATTGCTAAAATCTAATAATACCAACACAGTGAGCTGTTTATTATCCATACCTCGTCGATTAATTTAAAAATAAAAATCATCGTCTATTTCATGTTGATTGCAACATTCATATTGACATTTAAACAAATAAAATGGTTGCCAGCATCTGTAATTTTCAGTACGGCGTTGACTGCACTGGCAGCTTTTCGAGATACGAGTGCTTGCACCTTTCGTTATATGTGTATTAGTGTTGCCAGTTAAATGGGCCAAATATCGGGACGGAAGGTAAAAATAATCGAGAATTTGGTCTTCAAATCTAATGAAATAAAAATAAAAAATAGTTCTTTTGTATCCATTATGGCCGCCATGAGTTATGATAGTCTTTTTGACACAATGCGCAATTTATTTTATAATTTTTTTTTTGCCAACGAATAATTTTTCATCCATGCAAATCTTTTTTTTCTTCAATTTTATTTATTTGTATATATTTATTAATTTTACTGCTGGTTTAATGTTTAAGTATTTTCATGATTTTTTTATGAAATTATCGCTTTATTTAGCTGTACTAACATGATGGAGCGTGAATAAAGCTAATAAAACGTTGTGGAAAGATGATTTTTTTTTTCATTAGGATCGATTTTATATCTCACCTATTATCAAAGGTATAGTTAGTACTGTCGTTTGTTTTAGTTTTCGGGAGCGTTTCACAAACACCCGGTATATACCGTGTTTGTTAATAATTTATAATGTAAAGATCTTCGACCTAATCTATCACACTATTTCTCACCTTGTCATTCAGATTCATCCCTAACATACTCCTTAATGACCGCATTTCTACAGCATTTATTCTACTTTTGTGCTTCTTCTGCCACACCCAACTTTCACTACCATACATTAAAGTAGGTACTAACACAGTATTGTGAATTGCCATACGTGCCTTTTTGGACACATACTGACTTTTCACAATAGGGTGTAGAGCCCCATTCACTCTATATCTCGAAAACAGCACGTAGACGCGGCTCAGAAGGGAAATCGGTCTGTAGTTCTTCAAGAGAACGTTGTCACCTTTCTTGAAGAACAAGACCACCGCACTTCTGCTCCACGCCTCCGGTGTAATGCCACCATGGAGGACGGAATTAAGGAGCCTCTGAAGGACTTCAAGTACCGGTTTTCCACCCGCTTTCAGAAGCTCCGCTGTAATTCCATCCTCGCCTGGGGCCTTACCGTTTTTAAGGTGCTGGAGATCCATTCTAATCTCGCTCAGACTGACGTCCGGGATATCTTCGGAATAGTGTCGGATGAGACTAGTAGTTAGATTAAATAAAATAAAGATAAAATAAAGCGTCGGTGACCTTTGGCGGCGGCCTCGACGGTGAGGCAGGCGCGCTCGAGCATGGCGTCGCTCTGCTCCTTGCACTGCAGCACGGCGCGCTGGATCTCGTTGTAGTTGAGCGCGTGCGCGTGCGGCAGCACCGACAGCGCCAGCTCGGCCGCCGCGCGCACGATGTGCACGTCGCGCCCCGACGACGCCTGCGCACCGCCCACACAAACGTATAGCCGCGCCTTGCCTTCACCACGTCCGCAGTATAACAGCGCAACCAATTACTGAGCTCAAATGGATATGGGCCGGCCATATAACTCGAGGACAAGCGATGGGGAAGAAAGGTTCTCGAGTGGCAGCCTCGTACCTGCACCTGTAGGCGAAGTGTAAGGGGCCGCCAACGACATGGAGTGACAATCTGGTAAGACATGCAGGAAGTCGATGAATACAGGTGGCTTAAGACCGTGCTTTATGCCATTCCTTGGGGAACCTATGTTCAGCAGTGGCCTTAAGAAGGGCTGTAACTATGATGATGCTTATTATTATTATTATCAGTAACATCTTCTCGATAACAGTTCAGAATAAGAAACACTACGGTTGCCAATCCGCCAGCCAAACATGATAACTATGGTATATATCCCGCCTGTGAGGCAATCTATGAGGAGGGAACGAAAGGTTAAGCTACTCACTAGATGAAGTGACTACCTAATAGGAATAGTAGCGCAGAAGGATGACAAACAAGCACACAGTCCGCCTGGCGTTAAGTGGATCAGGTGACACACTCACGCTGCAGCTATATAGTTGTAGCACGAATGAGTCGACTCGTCCGAGGTAGGACCACGCTCTCACAGAATACCAATGCAAAAAAGCAGCTTGACCCTGCTGTAATTTGTATGGGACTGTAGAGAATAGGAGGCCCTTTTTACTGGAAACGAAGCATTCCATCTTAGTCCTCACGGGTGACATCGCATCTGCATTTTGAAACTTAAACGAGGACAAATCTATGGGCCTGAACATCTACTTACCATCAGGTTGACTATGTGCTCGTTTGTCACCCATATTCTATAATAAAAACTCAGATGACTCATCGGTGTGCTTTTATGGCATTCCTTAGGGGTGGCCCATTCAGCAGTGGAATTTGAGACTATAAATTTAAATCGCAATTCTGAAGATAAAAAACAATTCGCAATAACGTCTTTCATAACAAACAATATTATATTATTTTACTATTAAGTTGATTTAAAAAAAGTTCATTTATTTATGAGCTGTTGCTTATTTAGATAATTTTGTTCCTTACCGTATACCTTCATATATTTTGTACTATAGCTGCATAAAAATTTATGAATCCTAAGTTGCTTATAGGTAATATTGTTGAATATTGCTCACATATTATTGATTGTGTTGTTAGACAATTTATTAAACAAATAGATGGCATAATTATTACTGATTTTAGGTTAAAAAATTTTGAAGCATTAATATGCTCATAATATATTAACGAACTCGTCTCAACATTATTGTATAATAATAAGGCTAGTCTTATCTCTATTTAGGGCCCCTTTTCGGTATAACAACCCTTCTCTATAAGTATACAATAGAGATGAGTATAGTAAAATTATTGTGTCCGTGTAGTTGGGGTAATAAATCATAGCTCGGCCTCAGCCCGGCTAGGGCGGTGAGCATGTTTCGCGGGCGCAACGCCATTATCGATATCAACAAATGAATCATCGAAGGCAAGTACACGGCGGCGGTGCGGTATACAATGGCTAATGCGACATTGTTATGTTATGAGTCATTTGTTTTCCATTATTACCCCCGCCTAATACCTGCAAATTAGTGCAATGATAATTTAGTACATATATCGAAGAGAAATTTGTTTTTACGCATTCGTTCTCTGAATTTCTTTAGTGACACAATGGCTACTCCTTTGTTTTGTACCAAAACGGCAGAATTTATTCAGATTTAATTTTAGATATAAGTTATTATATTTATATTATTTTTATTTTTAATATAACTTGTTACATTCCAAACATTTGTACTTATAGTTTTTTAATGCATAGATACCTAATTAATAATTTATTTTAAATCATTATTATTCTTATTTTAATAAACTGTGACAGTAACATGTTGCATCAAAAATAAAAATGTAACCATAAAGTTGTTTCAGTGAAGTCCAAGAACTAAGCGTTTTAGCATAAAACAATAACTAATATAGTTCTTAAACAACGATTTAATATTACGTGGCTATTAGAAACCAGAAAACTATTGTCACACGAGTTTCACAAAAGAAATGTATCTGGTTACTTTAAAGCAACGATGATGCTAATCGCTAGTACATACCCTACTGCCACTAAGCATCAATGCATAAACTGCTGTGTTCCGATCTTAAAGTTATATTGCGCCAGAATAATTACAGGCTGTGAGACTTTCCATCTTAATCCTCAGATATGACAAGGCATTTGTAGCTTTCATTATTTGAAGCTGGTTGCGGATAATCAGGGGTTGCAATAGCTATTTACAACCTGGTCAACTGTAAGTTTACATTTGTCACTTCAGTTTTAGTTTTAGTCGCTTTTTATCAAGCCTATAGCTTTGGAACAATATATATTGATTCAAATCAGGAATAATATTGTGTATTACTTACCTTATCAGCAATTCCCGCTGCTTCCGGCGGCGTTAAATGGCCTTCCCATGCATCAATTAAAAACAAGATTGCGGGGGCACCGATATCCATAGCTTGACCTGAATGCAACAAAATACAAGTAAATATGAAAACATTTATAACGACAAAAGTAAGTGTTGTAATTGTTTTAGACAGTATACCTGTGATCCAACTGACGTGTGAAGAGTATGTTCTACTCAACCAATTCGCACTGACGCAATTATGTAAGCCGAGAGCATAAAGGCCTAATTGAAAAGCGGCCATGTGTAAACCCCTGTAAAAAACGACAGTTGACTGTAAAAAGTAAAACTAACTTTAACTTAAAAAATTAATTAATAAAAATAAAATATTTAGAGACAGCCCTAAAGAATTCTACAATTTTTTTACCATGACAGCACATTAACAAATTTTTATGAAATCTATTCTAGCAGAATGGGTTGACTGGTGAGAATGCCTCAAGGCATTAAGTCCGCCCTTTGTATTCTTTTGTTTTAAGGAATGCATTAAGGAACAAATAAATAAATAAAAATAAAATATTTAGATTATAAGTTATACACAATAAAATCTTTCACTTGACAATAGCACTGAAGTAATGTTTTATAGTTATCATTATATTAGATGTGAAACATAATTTAGGGTATTTAATAGTAAGCTACTTTTTGCCTAGGATTCGTTCTGGATAGTTAGCACACTCTTAAATACTTATAGCACCAAAAATGAGTTGACTGCTGTTGTTCCATTGTAAAAGTTAAGATAGCCAGTATTAGTTAAGCTATATGTTACTAGTAATAATCTCTTTTAGTCCCTAGATGTGATAATATGTTAATTCAATTTTTAAATATATAAAAAATATCTTCTTTTAAACAAATCATAGATACCTTTTTTTCCAGATGACGTAATATAAGTAAGTATATATATGTAAATGTTATCAATATTATTATATTTTTGATCTAACTACTTACACTTGAAAATATCTGCTTCAATATAACCTTTATCAAAATAAATTGATTCCTAAAATCTTTACCTATGTGGTCCATGATGTTCCCTCGCGCATGATGTCTGTGTGAATAAACTGGTACTGGAGGTACCACCGGCTTTGAACAGCACAGATTTAGCAAGCTCGAACATGAAGTGTGCGGAAGCTTCAGAAGGCTGATTCGGTACAGACGGGTAGACACGTTTTCCTTTATATCTGGAGGAAGTGATTTGATCACTTATATGCATGTAACAGACGAAAAAAAACAATAGAGCATCAAGAATATATGATATATTATGTGTAATAATCATATAGAGCACTTTGACATCCATTGCAGAGCATGATTTACTTTCTCACACATTGAGGCGATATTAGACGGATCAACCAAATTGAAACAATTCCACTGAAAGGCGTTGAACATTGAACGGTTTTCTCTATATAAACGACGAAACCTTTTAATGTCATTCAATGTTTTCTTCAGTAATGTCGCGGCAAAAACATGCCGGAATTTCCCTAATCAACGTCAATTTAATAAGTTGAATTAAAAAAAGAAGAAAATCCCGGCAGTAGTATGAGGTACGTTTGTTGATTTCCCAAAGAGTGACCAAAGAAGCTATGATTTCTATCACTGTAAGAGTTTGATTTGGTATTCTATATACACTCCTCAGTCACTCAGTCACAACTACAGACATAATATAAATATTATCCCCGGCTGCCTCCTTGGAATCGTATAAATATTGAATGCCTTGTTGGTCTAGTGGTCATAAACGTGATTGCTGATCAAGAGATCCCAGGTTCGAATCCCAGGTAGGGCCAGAATCAGTTATGAGGTTTATCTGTAAAGAAATTCGCAGTTGCCGTTGGCGGTGTTTTACATCAGTGTCTCGGCAAGCACGTGAAACCTTTGGTCCAGCTACTGCTATCCCTCCGGTCGCGGTCAAGTCGAACAACCATCGCATCAGACTATGAGAGTGAGGGAATAGAAAGTGGACCAGTGAATACACTCGGGCACTATAATACTGTCCTACGCAGATGGCTAGTTTCCGACCGGCCGCCGCGACATTATACATTATTATCCCCGGACCTGCAGTTAATTTTGTAATTACATACTATAATGATGTTTCTGGTTTACGCCTATATAGTAAGGCATGACTGATATCAGGTGAGCTGTGTGATCCACGTTTGTGTATTTACATTGTCCTGTATTTATGTAGTAAGTTTTTTATTAAATATGATATATATACATAGCTTCCGAATATTTTCAGAAGCTACATAGCTGCACTAGACATGTTATGGTGCTAAAAATGTACATTCAAGAAATACCAAGTCATCTTTACCACTATGTATTTGATGTTGTATCTATACGGTAATATCGGAAGTAGACTATATAAACAATGTCACACACAGGAATATGATCACAAAACAACCAGAGCTATAAACTAAGACTTTGTTTCTATGTACGTTACTATTTGAAGTAACCCGTGGTATATTTACTAATGATTTATTATTATCACAAAAAAATTGCTTGTTCACATAATAGATCGATATAAAATTACAATGTGGACATTGTTTGTACCTGGAGTCTTTAGGTCTGGTTAGCGACGGATGCTGCGAAAGTTGTGTGTGCGTTGTGTGCTGCGAATGTTGCGCGTGTTGCGAATGCTGTGGAAGTTGCGAGTGCTGCGAGATTTGCGTGTGCTGCAAATGCTGCGGATGCTGCGTTGCGGAATGCTGCTGCAGCGCGGGCGGTGACGGCCCCGCCTCCGCGACAGCTAGTCGCTCCATGTCCGTTACTAGCGGACACGCCACCTGTTTTAAGGGTAAGAACTTATATTTTTACATTCATCATCATCGTCATCATTACAGCCCTTCACAAGTCTACTGCTGAACATAGGCCTCCACCAAGGAATGCCACAAAGCACGGTCCTGAGCTACATGCATCCATCGACTTCCTGCATATCTTACCAGGTCGTCACTCCATCTAGTGGGGGGGACGCCCAACACTTCGCCTGCCGGTACGAGGCTGCCACTCGAGAACCTTTTTTCCCTATCGGTTGTCGGTTCTTCGAGCTATATGGCCGGCCCATTGCCACTTTAGTTTAGTAATCCGTTGGGCTATGTCGGTCACTCTGGTTCTACTGCGGATATCCTCATTTCTGAGTTTATCACGCAGAGAAACTCCGAGCATAGCCCTCTCCATAGCTCGCTGAGCGACCTTGAGCTTCCTCATCCGGTCAGCAGTCAAGGACCACGTCTCAGTACCGTATGTCATCACTGGCAACACGCGCTGGTTGTACAGTCTCGTTTTCAAGTTTTGAGGTATACCTGACGAGAAGATGTGCCGTAATTTCCCGAACGCTGCCCAACCGAGTTAAATCCGTCGATTGACCTCTCGGTCGAAGTTGGACTTACCTAGTCGGACTATTTGTCCCAGGTAAACATACTCGTCAACAACTTCGAGCTTAATGCTCCCAACAACTACCGGCATAGGTGTGACATGGACATTAAACATGATCTTTGTTTTGTCCATGTTCATCTTAAGACCTATCCGTTGGGAAGCACTATTGAGGTCATTGAGCATAGTGCTTAGGCCCTCCAGCGATTCTGCCATAAGGACTACATATATCGTCGGCAAATCGAAGGTGAGTGATGTACTCGCCATTGATGTTGATAACCGTATCCTTTCCTGAAGAGTTTCGGGGATATGACGTCACCCTGTCTTACACCTCTCTGCAATTGGATATGTTTCGTACTCTGGTTCTGTACTCGGATAGCCATCGTAGCCCTACTGTACAAGCACTTCAGCACTTCGATATACCGACAGTCAACTTGGCACCGCTGAAAGGACTGCAGCACCGCCCAATTTTCGACGGAATCAAAGGCTTTCTCATAGTCCACATACGCCAGACATAGTGGCAAATTGTACTCCTCGGACTTCTGTACAATTTGCCGAAGGGTGTGTATGTGGTCTATGGTGCTAAAGCCTTTTCGGAAACCGGCTTGTTCGGGAGGCTGGAAGTCGTCATATCTGCGCGCGAGACGATTCGTAAAGACTCTCGAAAACAGCACGTAGACGCGGTTCAGAAGGGAAAACGGTCTGTAGTTCTTCAAGAGAGCGTTGTCGCCTTTCTTGAAGAACAAGACCACAGCACTTCTGCTCCACGCCTCAGGTGTAATGCCACCATGGAGGACGGAATTAAAGAGCTTCTGAAGGACTTCAAGTACCGGTTTTCCACCCGCTTTCAGAAGCTCCGATGTAATTCGATCCTCGCCTGGGGCCTTGCCTTTAAGGTGCTGGAGAGCCATTCTAATCTCGCTCAGACTGACGTCCGGGATATCTTCGGAATAGTGTCGGATGAGACTCGCTCTTGGATCGTTACTCACACTTGCGTGTGGCTCCAACGATGACGTGTACAGCTGCCCATCGAACCTCTCAATCTCACTCAAAATCTCAGGTGCCCCTGAAACGATGCTGCTACACTCTGTCTTCAGCTTTGACAGTTGGCTCTTTCTGACAGACAGATTTCTGGCAAAGACTTTGGAGCCTTGGTTCCGCTCGATCGCTTCTTCAATACGAGCTGTATTGAAGTTGCGTAAGTCCCGCCGCATGCATTTGGAGATCTGTCTGCTCAGTTGCCTGTATATTGTCAAATCTGTTGAAGAATGTAGCTTCATCTCCCGTCTAACAGCCATGAGATTAAGAGTGTGATCGGAGAGTTTTTGTGTTCTTCTGCGGCGGGTCTTGCAGAACTTAGCTCCGACCGCATGGACAGTTTCCACGAGCTTGTCATTCATACCGTCCACTTCATTGCAGTCTTCTAGGCACTGAAAACGGTTTTGTAACTCGAGCTGAAAGGTTTCGGGACTTTGGATTAGAGCACGAGGGAGACGGAGCGTTGACTTCATTAGACGAGACCTGTCCAACTTAACGTTTAGGTTCAGTGTGCCTCTAACCATTCGGTGATCGCTGCCGGCTTTCACCCTCGCGATCACTGAGACATTACTGAACAGTACATTTACATTGTGTTGATAAATATTTCATTCACGTGGTAGAGCCATGCTGCAGTTGCATTGTATATATGCTGGTATATTATGGTTGTAGCACTAATGGGTCAGCTCGATCGGGGTAGGACCACGCTATCACAGAATACTAGCGTAAAATAGCAGCTGAATGCTGCTGTGTTTCGTTTGGTGAGTGTAGAGAACCGGAGACCCTTTTTACAAGCTTTTATTTATTTTATGTAACTATGTTTGTTCGTATGGAATCTTGCAACTCAATTTTGAAGCAGATATCTTCAACCGATTGAGCTGAAATTTTGTATACACACTTAGTTTGGATGACAATGCATGGGTAGCTATGACGTCATTCTATATCAAACATTGCGGAACACCCAAGATGGTGGAGTAGTTATTTATAATGCGCTCCTACAATATGGGTATAAAATGAAAGAGCTTGATGAGAATAACTCGAAAAATAAAGTGACATCACTCTAACTCCAATATGGCGAACTTCTAAAGATGGCGGACTAAGTGTTTTATGCTTTCCTATAATATGGGTATCAAGTGAAAGGACTTGCTGGGAATATTAATGCGAGTTAAAAAAAAATAAGATGGTGATCATAACCTACATTGCTCCGATCCGTCTGAAAAGAGCTACACTATTCATAATTAACCGACAAACGACCTTGCAACAATGATGCGTTGAATGCGATGAACAGACTGAGAAACCTGTCCAGCGATAACTAAAAGGTAAAAAATAAATTAAAAGTAAAAAAACTTTTTAAAAACAAGCTTTTATTTAAATGCGCTAAAAGGAATAAAAAAACTTTTCCTTTAAAACTTTTACAATCAACTTATAACGTCATTACACAATTTATATGATATAAAAGCTTGACGCGAGATTTACCTGTGTAGATAAACAAGTAAATTAAATAACTGATCTTCTTCCAAGGGCCTTCCTTCCTTAATCCACGACTTTTTGTCACCAGGGTGGTGCCATTAGAAAGTGAGGTATAATATTTGACAGATTTCATAGCGGGGAAGTTAATTTGTTCGTAAAATGTAAAAGTTATTGTTTCTTTTTGTACTATTAGCCATATAATATATTATATATATCATTAAAAAAACCAAACCACAGATATTCATAAAAGTACAAATATTAAAAAAAAAGTTAAAAATGTGCAAAAACTTAGAGAGCAAACCACTGACGCATTGTTTTGTGTATTAATATAATACTATAGAAACTGATAAACTTTTATTAAAAAACAAGTTCTCAATTAAATTACATTGTATTACAAAAAACTTTACCTCAGTATTAACTAGCGACATCTGGTGAGCAGAAAATTATTAGCCCTCATTGATTGTTAATTTTTAAAATGTCCAAACTAAGCAAATACGGGTACTTAAAAGTTTATTTTATTCTTTTTAGCGCATTTAAATAAAAGGTTGTTTTAAAAAAGATTTTTTACTTTTAATTTATTACTGGTAATGAGGCATTCCATCTCAGTCCTCAGGGGTGATAACGCATTTGGATTTTTATTCATAATTGATGATAAATGTGGATAAATGTGGAAGGTGTGTTCGGGAGGTTCCTGCACCGAATCGGGCGGGAGGAAACGCCCGGGTGCTCCCACTGCGAGGATCGACCGGAGGACACGGTGGAGCACACCGTGGAGGTGTGCTCTGCTTGGGCGGAGCACCGCCGTGTCCTCGTAGCGGCGATAGGCGGCGGCGACCTCTCGCGTCCGGCTCTGGTCGAAGCCATGGTCCGGAGCGAGACGGAATGGGATGCCGTCACCACCTTCTGCGAAGCAGTGATGCTAGCGAAGGAGGTGGCGGAGTGGGAGAGGGAAAGAGCAACAGCTTTCCTTCCCGGCCGCCGCGGGAGACGCCCCGGGCGTCGGGGGCTACGTCGTGGCCCCCGACCACCGTAGGCGCGGGCCTGTGGACGGCGAGCAATGGGTAGCTCGCCGTCCGTCCGTCTAACGACGACAGGCCGTGTCGACGGCGCGTTTTGTTCCACGCGCGCCTCAAAGAGCTGTCAGCAGCGTGAAGGGGCCTGCAAGGGCCGACGCCTACCGGGGCTGCGGGCTGTTCGAAAGAGATACCGCGGCTCCGGAACGTAAGGGCACTGAAGGAACACGGATGGTTTTTAGTCAGTAAAAGTCTGACACTCCCTTCCGCTCCACCCACAGCGAAAGGCGTCATTAGATGATTTTCCATCCGCAAAAAAAAAAAAAAAAAAAAAAAAAGGGGTGATAACGCATTTGGATTTTTATTCATAATTGATGATAAATGTGGATTTCTATGAGTGTCAGCATCCATTTACCATCAGGTAGATTGTGTTCGGGTTTGTCACACTTATTCTTTAAAAAAATAAGACTAAATAATAATAGTAAAAGCAGATATTTTACAACAGAGAAAGAAAATAATCATATAGCTCTACTTCCCAGGGTAGTAATGGTTATAGATAGTATTTAGAAATCTGGCTTTTTTTCCTCGTTGAATGGCTATGCTCAGTTTAGTCCTTCAGCCCCTCTTGTCACAAGTCGCAAGTTAATACTTTTAGTTTAAAACGTAGATAGATTATGTACTTATACATACAATATTTTAGTGCAAAATGATTACTATTTTAATACAAATCTATATGATAATTATATAGAAAATTCTGAGACTGCATCATATATTAAATAGTAGTTGCAACATATAAGGTCGCACTGCTGAGCACCAGCCATTTCTGAGGTTAGGGAACAATAAGTCCGACTCGTTTTTCCAGCTCGTATTGGTGGACTTAGCATGCCTTCGAAACATTTTTATTCGTCAAACTAATGGTTATGAACCTTGTACAAATTTGTTTTGACGGCTCCGTGGCGCAGTGGCTTAGCAATGAGTTGCTGCGCTGGGGGGCGCGGGTTCGAATCCCGCACGGAACAAGTATTAGTATGGCCTACAAATGATTGTTCCGGGTCTGGATGTTTGTCCTTGTGAAATTTGTGTTTGTAAACTGTCTCCACGATACAGGAGAAAATCCTAGTGTGGGGGTAACGTTTTTTTTTTAAAAGAATAAAAAAAAGTCCCTCTCTTTGTTTGTAATATTAGTATAAAGTAAATTTATTGAACTTACCGGCGGCTGAAGCGTTGGGGGTGGATGCGCGGTATGTGGCACATGGACGGGGTGGGCGTTATGAGCGACGTGGTTTGTGTGCACCACATGTGTAGGATGCGTCACATGAGCGCCGTGTGTTACGTGTGCAGCGTGACTAGGATGCGCAGAATGCGTCACGTGAGCTGGATGCGCAGCATGGGCAGCGTGTGCAGCGTGCGCAGCGTGTGCTGCGTGTGCCGCGTGTGCAGCATGGGCAGCGTGGGCTGCATGCGCTGCGTGGACGGCGTGCGCCGCGTGTGCGGCGTGCGACACGTGCGCCCCGTAGTGTTGCGCGTTGCCCGCGTCCGAGCGGTAGCTGCTGAGACGCGGGTTGTTGGTGTAGTACATGCTCACCATCGGACCTTTAGTCAACTGATGGATATCACGATCCAATAACTGAAAGAAAAATGGTTTAGACCAATTCAGACAATATTTTACAATATCAATTACAATTTAGTAACGGCATTTTTAAATATTTATTTCAGTAGAATAACAAAAAATATATATTTTCTTTAGTTTGTATGTCACAGAAAGATTTTGAGATACAATTGAGTTTTGGAAAAATTTACAATGGATGTTTTCAATAAAAATATTCACAAGTGTACATTTTAAGAAAAGAAAAATAATAAGGATCGGAACAGTCGCTATATCAATATAATCAAGTCTTCCTTAGGTTTTCTGATCGTACAGTATAAAAATAAATTTTATATTAAGACTTAGATTAAACTTACTTTGTTCATAATTCTCGCCAACTTAACAGGATCGTCTTTATAGAAAGAGAGCAAGGTGAGAGCTAACTCTCCGCGCTGCCGTCTCGTGCCTTCGCATAGCAACGGATGTTCGGCTTCTGATACATTCGCCTTCAACCCTAAAGCGGCCACTGCAGCTTCGAAACCCAATGCTTCATCGCTTGGCAACCTAGCCTGCAATTAGTATTTTTAATAATTATTTTGTGATATGGAATAATACAGGAAAGTTCATCCGTATTTCTATTAAGTTATATAACTGTAAATTATATAATTATATAAAACATTTATCATAAACAATTTATAAGTTAAATATACAAATATTTTAGCTATACAAATGATTCATTCCATCCAATTATATAAAATCATTGGACTTCAAAGATTGTATATATTATGCTGTTTTCTAAATTTCAACTTTTTTATAAAATAAATATAAATTGAATGATGGACACTACCATAAAGTTCTATTAACAAGTTTTAGGACTTAATGTATATTGTTAGGAGAGGATATTGATAATGCAACGACAGCTGAAAATATTTGTTAATTTGAAAAAATTATGATATCTTTGCTGTGATGTCAGGAAAGTTTGCTTTATCGCATGATTGACATCTCGGCTCGGTACAAGACTAGAATTAGCAAAGATCTGCATCAATTTCAAATATTATTTCTTTTTATTTAAAAAGGAGAATAATCCATTGTTCCTTAGCGTATCATGTGAAAGGATACCGGTGACCAGCAGTGGAGCCCCTATGAACTATTACTACGCTACTATACACACCCGCACGCACGCACGCACGCACGCACGCACGCACGCACGCACGCACGCACGCACGCACGCACGCACGCACGTGCGCATTTAAAAAGAATTGTTAGAATCGGGTCCTATGGATCTCAAAACATAAGAAATTTGTTGAATTTGCACCTTCAAATATCGGATCCATTTACAACAAGTTCCCAATAGGAAGCCAATACTTACCGGGTGCTTATTTTCTTTATCGGTAGCAGACAGAACGAGGACATCAAATAAGAAGCTCGCAAGTGCTATAGGTAACAGTGCAGGCCCCCGATTTCTGGAACAATATCCGACATTACCAAATACTCAATCCTCTAATTATGAAAAGATATTGCGTATACATACCTTAAAGTACCATCACGTAGCTGTTCCGCCTTTTCCCGAGCTAGAGCAAGTTGCTCGACACCAGTGGGAAGTTTCTTCAATAGTGCTACTAATTCAGTCTCTTGATTATTCAATTTAACTTCCAACGCCTTGGTGCTGGCTGGAGGTCGTGCCATTTCTAAAGCGTAAAGACCTACTCGAAAAGCCAGTTCGTGATGCTCGCTGAATTCCGCTAAGACCTATTAACAATTTTTCTACATATAAATTCGAATTACATGGTTCAGTAGTTTAGTTAAGTTAAAGTAAAAATATATGTAATGAAAAAAAAGAGAATGATATTTTACTATGTAATTTACCTGTACTGTATACTTTTTACATATTATTTAAATTACAGTACCAATACACTTCACTCTACTGTTCAGGATGCAATTCTCTGGAACTCCATGTCCGATGACTCTCATCACTTATTTACTGTCTACGGGCTATTCATTTCACCATAAATGCACATTTTCACAGTGAAACAAGTTTAGGTAGGTTAAATCCGGCCTTTGTTAGTTTATATTCTGCGTAAGGTAAACGCAATATATGGTTCACAATTTGGAATATGGATCTGAGACATGGTCCTTCACTGCATGAAGAAGCACAGTCATTCGGCGAGCTATGAAGAGGGTTATGCTCGGAGGTTCGTTGCGTAATAAGCTTCGTAATGAAAATACCTGCAATAGACCCAGAATAAACGACATAGCCCAACGGATTAGTAAGTTGAAGTGGCAATAGGGCAGCCATATAGCTCGAAGAACCGAAAACCTATGGGGAGGAAAGGTTTTCGAGTAGCAATTTCGTACCAGTAAGCGAAAAGGAGGGAAGCCACCCACAAGGTGAAGTAACGATCTAGTACGAGTTCCAGGAATTAGATAGACGCGGGTGATTCAGGACTGTTCTTTGTGGCATTTCTTAATGGAAACCTATGTTCAGCTGTGGGCTTATGATGTGTTATAATGATGATAATGCTGATGAATGCATAGTGTTTATGTTACAAATTATCAATTTGGAACATGAAACTATACTAAAGTCTAATCGTATTGTCGGTGTGCCGTTTTATAGTACATAGGCAAACATCCAGACTTAAACAAAAAAGAGTCTCACTGCAACTGTATTATGCATGCAAAATCAATGGTATCGGTTAGACTGGGGAAGTACCACGCTCTCAGAATAGCAGGTTCTTCGTAAAATAGCAGCATAATGCTGCAGAACTTTGTCTCTTCACTGCAATAAGGAGCCAGCTCACCTTGGCTCGTTCTTTCCAAAATGTATCACTAGAATACACCAATCGCCTTCAGTTACTGGGGGTTGAGATATCCTCTAACCTTAACTTCGGGCGTTTCATTGAGTCACAGGACAAAGCAGCTGCAAAAAAGCTAAGACAGTTACTGTTTTTAGGCAAATACGGAATAAAGTTACACACTTATCTGTAATAACCTTCATATCACGTTGACAAGGTGCGTTCATAATGACAGCGTTTTTTTGGATAAAACAAAATAATTGTGTTAACAAAAGAAAGACTGTTAAATAGAATTGACTGTAACATAGTTCGCAATGTATTAGGAGGGGCACAGAGCGCGTCTAGTAGTATACATAGTGTTTGTTGTAGATAGGTTAAGTGAGTTTATTTAGTTAAGTAGTAGAGGCGGGCAATGCTGACCGTGCAGAGGAAGGCGCACTTGGCGAGCGTGGCGGAGGCGAGGCAGGAGAGGCGGTGGCTGGCGGCGCAAAGGCGCGGCGAGGGCGCGTGCCGCCGTCGCGCGCGCCGCTCCGCCGCCGCCGCCGCCGCGCTGCTCGCGCCCGAGCCCGCGCCCGCGCCCACCGACCCTACGCAAATATCAACTCTCGCACAAACGCAATAACGCCCACTTTGCTTTCACAGGTACACACACAGGTACCTGTGAAAGTAAACTGATCTAAATTCATTTGGAAAACACGGAGTGACTGGAAATTCAACTCTTGCGCAATGGCAATAATGCTCATATTAGTGCACATGTAGTGCGTAAGCTCGAGAATCTAAAATTATAGTGCAAGCGTTATCAACTGCGTCGTCGGACAATGACACTTATGGAGCGTCATAATGATGTGCGTAACAGCAGGTAGTCGATATCAATAAGATTTAATGAATGCACAAACAATATCACTTCTTTTCATTAAATATTTCCGCCCTTCCGCATTTTTCTTAAATTTATATCCAATATCTTTTATTTTCCTCATGGAAGTTTACATGCATTTAAAATCGGGCATCAATTCAGAGTATTTAGCACAGATTTTTGTCACACATGGATACTCGCCGTTATCATACATAGTGGATATGGTGCGTTTTAGCACACTTTTATCAAAATTATCAATATTGGTAACTGTAGTTGGTTCTTTAAAGCTTTCCCTTGGATTAGCTGGGCTGTCGGATATCGCAAATTTCTGTTTTTATTCGATCGACTGTTGTTCACAAGTCACAAATAAATGCAACATTTTCCCATGTTTTATTAAAATTAAGCTGGAATATTTTTTCGTGATCACTTTTTAATTCATTTAAAAACAAAAATATATTGTGAATAACTATTCACCTTGTACGCCGCGATAAGGCGATAGCTTTAAGCGTACACAAGTGGCTTACGGTGGCGGCTAACCGCGAGCCACGGCTCCAGCCGCTGCAACAGCACACCACCGCAGTCGCAATGGCAGCCTAAAATTCCATTCGCTGTGGTATCTGTGCTACGATCGGACGTCAATCAACATGGCTAACTGTGACGATGTCTTCTTATCCTTATTATTTTCAGCAACATTATCCCATATTTTGTTTTTAACCCTAATGCTTTTGTAATCAAGGTGTGAAGTAACATAAAGTACTGGATAATTTTGCACTGTTTCTATTAAAATCTCTGTATTTAGCGCCATTTTGCACGCGGTAAGCACGGCCCGTTGTAAAAAATTGCAACTGACCAAGCTGCGGCCGCCAACAACCGATAGAGGCCGCACATTCGCTAACACATACACGATGGCGGGGAAGGGGCATGCGGTCGGACCTGGAGTCACCTGCATCCATCGGCTTCCTACATGTCTTACCATGTCGTAACTCCATCTAGTGAGGGGCCGCCCTACATTTCGCCTGCCGGTACGAGGTTGCCACTCAAGAATCTTTCTTCTCCATCGGCTGTTGGTTCTTCGAGTTATGTGACCGGCCCATTGCCACTTCAGTTTTACTATGTCGATTACTCTGGTTCTACTTCTTCTATATATATTTCATTCTTAAGTCTATCATGCAGAAAACCCATGCATGGCCCTTTCCATGGTTCGTTGAGCGACCTTGAGTTTTCTCATACGGCGAACAGTGAGGGACTACATCTTAGATCATTGGTTGTACAATGTTGTTTTCAAGTTTAAGGGTCTTTTTTATCTTTTAAATTCAAAATGCGTGGGATTGCATTATTTTGACTGATTTTGCTGCGTAAGCACACATTCGTAAGGGTCGATTGGTAGGCAAATATGTTGTCGTCCATAAATTATATTCAATTTGGGATTATTTAAAATAAAAGTAGAAGCCTTATTTACTCGTGTTTTCACAAACTGCATTAACTGTACGAGGGGCACACTGAAATGATCGGGAATGGAATATTTCGGGTTGAGTTACAATAAAACCTATTTTATAATTTGAATACTGGACTCTTAGAATCTTAATAACATTCAAATAAAAAAAATGTTTAAAATCAAAAACTATGTTGGTTTAAAGTTGACACGTCGTTTAACAGAAATGGAGTTCACGCGTGAACATTTCCGTGCCATAATTTATCACAATTTTCGTCGCGGTTTATCTCAAGATAAATGTCTCAGCGAACTTGTTTCGATTTATGATGTTGAAGCACCGAGTCAAACGACAATATACCGCTGGTATGCCGAGTTCCGACGCGGTAGTGTGTCGCTCAGCACTGTTTCTTCTGCAGGTCAACCAAGAACAGCGGTCACGCCTGAAAACATCGCAGCTGTACGAACTATTATATTAGATGACCGTCATGTGACATACGAGCAGATTCAGGCTGTTATCAGTGTCGGAATGACTGCAATTCAGTCGATATTACATAATGAGCTGTGTGTAAGGAAGCTAGTTTCCCGTTGAGTTCCCCACAATTTGTCCGAAGAACAAAAGGCGGCTCGTGTAGATTGGTGCCGGAATACTATGCAACGCTTCAACGGAAGGAAATCAAATGCCGTTTATAATATCGTCTCAGGTGACGAATCATGGATTTATTCATATGAACCTAAAAGAAAACATCAGTCAGCAGTATGGGTCTTCAAAGACGAGGTCAAACCGACGAAAGTGGTTCGCTTCCGCAGCGTGTCAAAGAAAATGGTCGCTACGTTTGTCTCGGAAAAGGGGCATGTTGCTACAATTCCTTTACAGGAACGCACGGTTACCGCTGAGTGGTATATCACGGTTTATTTGCCAGAAATGATAGCCGAACTACGAAAAAATAACCCGAAACGTCGCATCATCTTACATCACGATAATGCGAGCTCCCATACGGCTCGGAAGACAAAAGATTTGAAGCAGGAAAACGTTGAGCTGATGAGCCATTCTCCGTACAGCCCTGGCCTGAGCCCAAACGATTTCTTTACATTCCCTAGAATGAAAGATTTATTAAGCGTTCAACGGTTTGAAGACCCCGAAGCAATTGTGGAAGCGTACAAATTAGCCATTTTGTCAACATCAACTTCAGACTGGAATTACTGTTTTAATAATTGATTTACATGAATGCAAAAGTGCATTAAGTTAAACGGAAAATACTTCGAAAAACAATAAAATACAAATTAGCTATACCGTGCATGTGGTTTTTCTTATTCCCGATCATTTCAGTGTGCCCCTCGTATATCATTATTTATATTTTTAAACTAAAGTTTAAAATTTGGCTACTATATATATATATTATTGATAAGATGTTATATGGTATATGTGTGTGTGTGTGTGTGAGAGGCGTACCGAGAGCGGGCGGGCGGGCGAGCAGTTCGCGCGCCAGGCTGGCGCCGAGCGCGCAGGCTTCGCGCGCGTGCCCGTGCGCCTGCAGCCCCTCGGCGCGCGCGAACGACACCTCCCAGCCGCAGCCCCACCCCGCGCCCGCGCCCGCGCCCCACCCCGCGCCACCCGCCTGCGCCCACAACATACTCACGTACACGCTTCACATTCAATACATAGCCAAATATTTTTTTTATAGAATAACAGACAAACGAGCACACACTCCAACTAATGATAAGTTGATATGCTGTGGCCCTAGACTTAAATTTTTATCCTCTATAAAAATAAAAATGTGGGGAAGTGGTCACCCACGAGGACTAAAATTAAATGCCTCGTATCCAGTAATAAGGGTCTCCGGTTCTCTACAATCATCATATGAAACACAATAACATTGACCTAATACTTCACTTCTGTGAGTATTCTCCTTTCCCGGTCGAGCCAACCACTTCAAATAAAGATCGAGTGGTCGTAGGTGGCAACCGAAGCTCCACCGGAGATTCTTATCACCCCCTACTCCGCCGTTAAGCTTAATAAAAGCAAATTATTTCTACAATTAATGTAAGCACTTATTACATTATTAAAGCAACACTACGGGTATTATATTACATTAACATAAACAAAAAACAACTCGACAAAAGTAAACAACAGCCTTTATATGTTCCACTTCTCCACATAGAACTTCTCATTTTCTGACAAGGGTTTTAGAACAAGGAGGAATTTGTATGTGTTATCTCAATAGACAATAACAATAACGGTGGTAGAACCACGCAGCAGTTTATGCTGTTGCACGTATGGGCCGGCTCGAGCCGGGTTGGTAACACGACCTCACAGAATACCGGCGTGAAGTAGAAGCTCTACTTCTGCGTTTCGTCTGGTGAGTGCAGGTGCCCCCCCCCCCCCCACCACCCAAATCAAGATGGTAGCGGAATTACACCAAAGACTACCCCAGGAAGGTACCAGCACCCCTGGAGAATCCCTCGCTGAGCATCCACGACCATGTTATTTTACTCCTGAACGTGGGTGCTCAGGCTGCCTAGCGTATGGGGGGGGGGGGGACAAAATTCGGCTCAAAAACATAACTGCTCGGGGTAAACTGAGCAACAAAACCAAGGCGACCCCTGCCACGCTATCCGTGAATTTCTGCAACGGGGACTTCACTCGAACCTAAACGCCTTCCACTACCACCTCGAGACGGCGAAGCCGGCCTTGCTCTTTCTGACCGAGACACAGGTGTCCTCTCCGGCTGATACTTCGTATCTCTCCTGCCCGGGTTACAAATTGGAGCACTCCTTTGTGCCTCGGGCTGGAGTTTGCGTGTATGTCAGAGAGGACATCTGTTCTCGACGCCTCGGCAGTCATGAAGGTTCGGACCTGTCCATCCTTTGGCTACGCGTAGACAGCGACGACCATCCGCGCGTCTACGGGTGCCTCTATAGGTCCCATAGCGGTAATGCCGAAACAGACCGACTCATCGACCACGTCCAAATGTCTACAGATTCCTTGCTACAACAGGTCCCATCCGCAGAGATCGTGATCCTTGGCGATTTTAACGCCCACCACGCCGAATGGCTCGGTTCACGTTTAACCGATCATGCGGGGAGATCTGTTTATGACTTTGCCTTGGCTCCGTGGCGCAGTGGCTTAGCAATGAGTTGCTGCGCTGGGGGGCGCGGGTTCGAATCCCGCACGGAACAAATATTTGTATGGCCTACAAATGATTGTTCCGGGTCTGGATGTTTGTCCTCGTGAAATTTGTGTTTGTAAACTCCCTCCACGATACAGGAGAAAATCCTAGTGTGGGGGCAACGTTTTTTTTTAAGAAAAAGAAAAAAAAAGAAAGAAGATGGTCTGACACAACTGGTTACTTCACCTACGCGGATTCCAGATGTGGAGGATCATACACCTTCCCTGTTGGACCTTCTGCTGACCTCTCATTCGGACGGATATCAGGTTTCCGTCGATGCCCCTCTCGGCTCTTCGGACCATTGTCTGATCCGGAGTGTGGTGCCACTCACGCTCCCCTCGCGGTTGCGTTCTGCAGGTTGCCGCCGTGTTTGGCATTACAGGTTGGCGGATTGGGACGGAATGCGATCTTTCTTTGCATCCAACCCATGGGGGCGGGTTTGCGTCTCGCCGGATGATCCCAGCGCTGTTGCTGACTCTGTCACTGATGTGGTGCTACAGGGAATGGAACTATTTATTCCATTATCTGTGGTACCCATCGGAGGCAGATCTCAGCCTTGGTTTGGTCGCTCCTGTAAGACTGCATTACGCAGTAAGCAGGAGTGTTATCAAGCCCGGGCTGCGGCTTCGGCGACTCGGGATGTAAACACCAGCACACTTAAAAAGAAGTATAACTTTGCCTCCAGGTCCTTCAAAAGAGTTATTGCCGAGGCAAAGTCAGAGCACATAGGCAACATTGGCGAGAAACTAGTTCGCCTTCCTTCGGGAACCCGTGCATTCTGGTCTCTCGCCAAGGCTGTCCAAGGGAATTTCTGTAAGCCTTCACTACCATCTCTGCATAGGGAGGACGACTCACTGGCCCACGCCGCAAAAGAGAAAGCCGACCTTTTAGGCTCCCTTTTTGCGTCCAACTCAACTCTTGACGATAGGGGGAAAACACCGCCGACCATCCCGCGGTGTGAGTGCTCCATGCCGGATGTGCTGTTTTCACAGCGCTTGGTTCGCAAAGCACTCCTCTCCCTGGACATCCAGAAGTCGAGTGGGCCTGACGGAATCCCCCCAATTGTGCTGAGGACGTGTGCTCCAGAGTTGGCACCGGTCCTAACGCGTCTTTTCCGGTACTCCTACTCTCAAGGCGTAGTCCCGAATTTATGGAAGACAGCTTTTGTCCACCCGATCCCTAAAAAAGGCGACCGCTCAGACCCGTCCAACTACAAGCCTATCGCCTCACCTCTTTGTTCTCCAAAATAATGGAATCCATTATTAACTGCCAGCTCATACGGTACCTTGAGGATCACCAGCTGATTAGTGACCGCCAATACGGTTTTCGTCGGGGTCGATCAGCTGGTGATGTTCTGGTCTACCTGACCCATAGATGGGCGGAGGCAGTAGAGTCCAAGGGGAAGGCGTTGGCCGTTAGTTTGGACATTGCGAAGGCCTTCGATCGGGTTTGGCACAAAGCGCTTCTTTCGAAGCTCGCTTCCTTTGATCTTCCCGAGAAATTGTGCAATTGGATCACCAGCTTCCTTGCAGATCGGAGCATCAAGGTCGTTGTAGACGGTGCATGCTCCGACTACAAGCCTATTAACGCTGGTGTTCCACAAGGCTGTGTGCTATCACCATCGCAGTTTCTTTTGCATATCAATGATATGTTGCTAACTGGTAACATTCATTGCTATGCGGATGATAGCACTGGTGATGCTCTATACACCGGCCTTGCCAATATTTCTCAGGAAAACGTCGCCGAGTACCGGAACAAACTTGTGTCTGAAGTCGAGTCTTTGCTGAACAGTCTCGGATTGGGGGCGACTAAATCTAATCCAGTTTAATCCTCAGAAGACTCAAGTTTGCGCGTTTACCGCTAAAAAGAACCCCTTTGTCGTATCTCCTCAGTTTCAAGGCACTCCCCTTCTCGCATCAGCCAGTATCGGAATCCTCGGAGTCGACATATCGAGTGACGTGCAATTTCGTGGTCACTTGGAAGAGCAGGCCAAATTGGCCTCTAAAAAGCTTGGCGTGCTGAGCAGAGCGGGACAGTATTTTATGCCGGCACACCGCCTGCAACTTTACAAGGCGCAGGTTAGGCCTCACATGGAATACTGTTCCCATCTCTGGGCAGGGGCTCCCCAGTGCCAGCTCCTTCCACTTGACCGCATCCAGCGCAGAGCGGCTCGAATCGTCGACGACCGAGTCCTTTTCGATCGGCTCGATTCATTGGCACTGCGAAGAGATGTTGCATCCCTTTGGATTTTCTTTCGAATTTACCACGGGGAGTGCTCTGAGGAATTGTTCGGATTAATCCCAACCGCCAAATTTCACGAACGCACATCGCGGCAGAACTCCCGATACCATCCACTCCATCTGGATGATTGGCGGTCCACCACTGTGCGATTTAGAAGATGTTTTCTTCCTCGCACGACTTCCTTGTGGAATCGATTACCATCAGCGATTTTTCCGGACCGATACGACTTAGGGATCTTCAAGAAAAGAGGCTACTCCTTTTTAAAAGGCCGGCAACGCATTTGCGATTCTCCTGGTGTTGCAGTTGTTCATGGGCGGCGGTAGTCACTTACATCAGGTGAGCCGCATGCTCGTTTGCCCCCTCTCCTATAAAAAAGAACTTAGGAGGTAATTATCCGTAATAACTTAGGGCATAATACTTGTCTTAAATTTCATAGTACTCAACCACACAGATTTCGAAAACCCACAAGATTTTAGAATTGTTAAGGCAGGAAGTCATTGTGGGCAAATCTTTATGTTTGAAATTTTTTTACTCGATGTACTTGCACTAAAATCTTCTCAAGAATGAAAGGAGGCCAGTGCAATACAGTGGTACACTATATAACCAAGGTACGAGTATAAGGGCCATCATGTTAATTTTTTAATCATGACGATCACTTATACAAATTGTAATAGTTTCGTTTAACCAGATATAAATTAGCTATATTAGAGCTTAATAAATTGGATTAAATTTAGTTTGACTATCTAATTAGTGATCGAATTAGATCGCTGGAATGTTAATACAGCAAAAGTGTGCGCGCTACGTCGCGTACACACGAGCACGATGCCGACTGTGGCGAAAGTGTTCCCCGCTGTCGGCGTCGTGCCGGCGAAGGGTTGACTCACGGGCAGCACGGGCGCGCTGGTGCCGGCGCCCTCGCTGGCGACGCGCCGCGCCGCCGCCGCGTCGTAGTAGTACAGCTGGCACTCGTCGTCCGACACCGAGTCGTCGTTGGACGCGCGACGCCGCGCTTCGTCCGCGTCCGACGACGTCGGCGGCGAGCTCGACTCTTGCGAGTCCGTGTCGCCGCCGCTCTGTTGTAGAATCTCCTCCTCGTTTTCGCAGAAACCTTGCAGCAATATAATAAAGGTCATCACCGTATCAAAAATCCCTGGTTTTAATAAGTAAACTGTCAATTTAGTTCGCTATGTAGCCCGTAAGAGTCTACTTCTGAACAGCGGCCT